ATCCACATAGTGTTACTCTGGTCATTACTTCTCAGTGCTTTTACATTTTATGCCTGGCACAAAGGGTCATCACACAAGGATGAGCTACTCACAGAGAAAGGGATGCAGGTGAACATGTCTTTCTCTGACACCACATCATCAATCAAGCTGTTGTTCCCCCACAGGTACTCAAGTGTGGCACTCAGTGTCACAGACTCGTTCAGGTAGGTCAGCTGAACGCAGACTTTCTCTTGAGAATCCGTGTGGATCAGATAGGGCACCAGCACCAGGTACTGCCTAGGAACAGGGGAAATTGATAGGTCAGAGAAGCAGGAACAGGTAACAGAAGCTGTGTATAAAGAACAAATAAACCAATCTGATGACTACAGCTTTCGCTGCACGGGGAGAAGGGCACATTTTCTAAGCATGTAACAAGATTTCCAGCATGTCTAGCAGCAGGGGAAAGCAGAGACATCTCAAATATAAAATACCAGAGGAAATCCTACACACAAACATCTGGAAAGGATATGTTTTTCTAGGTTCTGGCACAACAGCAGCACTTCTTCCTGGGATCCTGAATAAAGGCGGGGGGAAACTCAGTTGTCACTTTTGCTAGACACTGTTAGAAGCATTCAGGAGCCACACAAATGCCAGTATGCAGTGAAAAAAATTCCATTGACTACACATTGCGAAGGGTCTGTAGCATTACTCTCATTCCTCGCAGAGATTCAAAACCGCCACAGCGTGGTGCCAGATCTTAAGCAAAAACACAAACAAGTTTCAGGTTTTCAGGGAAGCAAGGCCCTCTGTCTCAGCTCAACAGGGGATCCCTGCTCAGCTCTAGGCAGCCTCCTTCATTCCCAGGGTGGCAACTTGCCGGTGGTATCCCAGTGCCCAGCACTGCATCTGGGAATGAAGCCCGATCCACCTAATGCTAACCGTGCTCCCATTCTGGTGGACGAGGACTGGCCTCCAGTGGGCATACCCAGAGCAGCGAGCAGATGGGAGAAGAGCCCTCAATACCTCAGCAGTAAGGCAAAGCATTCCCTTCATCAGTAGCAGAAGCTCTGGCACCTTTTTGTCCAACAGTTGGTCTGCAGGGATCAAGCCCTAGCCCCTCAGATCCCACTGTCTGTTTCCCCTGCATTTGATGAAAGCACTACAGCACAGCCTTGCTCAGAAATTCCCCTGTACCCCTTGTGATGGGCTCTGTAATGGGTGAGGTGCTCTGTGCTTTGCAGGGGAGGAAAAGACATTGCAAAAAAGCCAAAGGAGAAAGCCTTTGGGATGTCAGGACCCCTCATGTGCTGCTCCTACCACACATGTACACACATCCACAAAACACAAATGCCCTTCACATACAAACAGGGCAAAAGGGAGTGAAGGACGGAGGCAGGACACTATACTCTCACAAACCTGGACAGTCACAGTCTTACAGTGTCACATTACCCTGGCTGAGAAGGAAATTTTCATTCCATTGGCTGAGCTGAAAAATGTGAATTAAAAAATAAAGCCATTTCTGAGCTATTTGTTCCTTTTCTTCTCATCATAGTTTTTAAAAAGCCGCTCCCAGCTCCTGGGCATTTCAGCCTGGGAGTAGGACAGTCAACCCAAAATTAAACCTTTCAATGTCCTTGCAAAACAGTTTGTCTCTTAGGAAGACCTCATTGCACAAACATTTATGAAAAGCTGTCTTTCAAAAGAACTAATTTCATGCATAAAACTTTGTTGAAATCCTGTCAATCCCCTGAAGTTTTACTGGTATCTCCGTTTCACAGCTTGTTTTTCATCTCTCTCAAGCACTAGAGTTCCTGTTTGTAGAAGGCACTTTACCCAGCCTTGGCATCTTTATTCCTGTATAAAAGAAGTTATATAGAAGACAAGGGACAAAGAAATAGACACAGGAACACAGCCAAGGTCTCCTGCCTGCCCAAAGACCCCCCAGCATAGCTTACGGCTCTGTGATGGGTGAGGTGTCTCCTGGAAGGAAGAAGAGGAGGAGGAAGATGCTTGATTTGATAAGCAGCCCGTTCATCCCCATGGTACACAGCAGGACGTGGTGAGTCAAGCAGACACTCAGTGTGGTCCAGTGCTGCTTTTAGTCCCCCTCTGCCCTCCCAGTCATCCCCTTTATACTCTCCTCTGCAAACAGCCCAGGGGCTGGAGGAGATAAGGGCTGGGGGCCAGGGCCCATCCGGAAACAGGGAGAGGCAGCAAGGAGGAGCTGGAACTAGCAGCTCCAAGTCCGGGCAGAAGGCCAGGGCTGGGGGGGAGAGGGAGGGGAGGGTTCCTGGCAGGCCAGAGCTGTGCCTCTGTTGGGGCAGGACAGAGGCAATGGAAGAGGAAGGGCTGTAGCTAAGGAAAGAAGGGCTAACAGCAGAGCATGAGGGGAAGGCCTCCATTTCTGGCAGGGCTCTCTGCATGGAGCTGGACACGGCACTGGTCATGGAGGTTGCTGGAAGAACAGGAGCTGTTTGATTTCCTTCAAAATGGGAGCAGGAGATTGAGCTAGGACTTGGGAAACAAGCCTGGGTGTGTCTAACTCCCATTAACAGGATGTGAAAACAGGGAATGGAAATTGAAAAAACCTTCCCTCTCCACCCACACTGTTCCCTTTTGCTCCCTGTTCCTGGTCTCATCAAAGCTAATGCCAGGAAAAGACGCTGCAAAATGCCTGGAAAATCAAGTCAACTAAAATGATCTGGCCTTCACCCTGACAGAAACAGGGACAGTGACATGATGGGAAGCTGCCAAAAGTTCAACCCATTAACAGCATGTAACACATTAACCAAGTGCCCAGAGCAGCAGCTACCCTCACACAGCAGAACATATGTGGCCTGGGTCTTACTTTCCTTCTACTGGTTCTGGTTCCAGGTCAAGTTATTGATACTTCTAGGTCAAATTATTTTTGTTTGGTGGAGTCATCCTGATTTAAATAAGTGCAAATTCATGTAATGCACTGTTATGGGCAATGTTGTACCATAGAGGGAAAAGGGGTCTTTAGACCACTGTCTTTACTTGGTCTGCAGCAGGAGGATCAATAGCTCTGGTAATTATTACCCTTGCAAGTGGCAGTAGAATATCTTACTTATAGCTCTAATGCAAACTCCAAAGAACGGAGATCTATTTTAGAGGATGTAAAGCATAATTTTCAGATTAAAAAGTGTGCAGGATAAAATGATTTTCTGTCTGTCCTAACCTTCTCCTAATATAATCATCAAAACTTTGGTAATCTGAATAACTCTGGAGTTAAGAAATCCAAGTGCAGTGCAATAACAAACCTTCATTACCAACCTCATTCTACCCTGCAGTGACCTGCATAGGAAAAAAGAGGATAGTAGTGCATGTGCAATTTCCCTGGGGATTGCACAAAAGACAGCCCAGATTTGTGCTCTTCCTTCTGCATCTGATACCTAAAGATGGCTTTGCTTGCCCAAAAGAAATGTAACTCAGGAAAGTCTGCCTCACCCACAGAGGAGAGGATTTGTACATATGGGCTGGTCAAAGCCTTTCTGAAGATGACAATTTACAGTGGTAAAGGTCAGGAGCTGGACTGATGGAACACCAACCTGACAGGACGAGATGCAGAACTGCACATGGCACAGGGATCTCTATAGAGATCTACTCTTTTTGTGAAATAGCCAAACAGCTCACATGGCTCCCAAGCCTGCTCCTGAACATTAGAACCTTGGTCAAAAATGTGCTCTTGTAGCCAAAAACTGAAGAGAAATGTTTTCAATCTATCCAGGCAAGGTAAGCTAGGCAAGAGCAGAGACATGCTCATCTCACCTGCATATCATGGTAATATGAGAAGCTGTTTCTTCAGTGGTGTTCTCTGGTAAGGTAACTGGTAGGTTCCCTTCTACAGATGCTTCCATCATTTTGACAAAGCAAGCAAAGTGTTCAGCATTATTTCATAGTGTCTGGCAACCTTCTAGGAACCAGGAACATCTTTTGGTAGCTGAATGGACTTTGGCACAGATAAAATGACTCACCCAAAGTAACCCAGACAATCTAAGATGAAAACTCCAAAGTTTTCACTTCCTCCTACACTGATGTTTCCCCAGGTCTGGCTGTTTCAGTCATGGGTTTTAAAAAGCAGACTCCCCCTTGCTGTAACACATTCTCACCTGAGACCCTCATCTCAGTGAACTCTACATGAGGCTCAGCAGACATCCACTTAGCTAAGTATGCTAAGATCCATCATTTTGTCTTTAACTGCCTTGATACCTTCATGTGTAGCATCCTGTTAAGCAGGTGGAAGATAATGCCACTAGTAGCTGGTAAGGATTTCCTGCAATTAGAATAAAAAAAATACGAAGCAAATATATGGAGTCTGAATTGAAATGTTGAAGCTGGTTATTGTGCTTCTATGATTGTAGGAATAAGATCTCTCCTCAGCCTTCTCTGCTTTAGAATAAACTATCCCAGCTGTCTCAGCCTCTCCACATAGGGAAGGTGCTCCAGCCCTATTGTCATATTTGTGGCCCTGTGCTGGACTCTCCAGTCAGTATGTCCATGTCTCTCTTATACTGAGCAGCCCAGAACTGAAGACAGTGTTCCCAAATATTCACTGTGGTTTTATGGCATTCAAACTCTGAGCCTGTCTCTGCTCTATTTGAACTGGAAGATCATTGCCTTAAGGGTTTGTCCACTGCTTCCTCTGTTTGTAGTACGAAAACACACAGGTGGGGAGGAAAACAGGTTTCTGGTGAATTAAATAATTACACAGAATTAGCTGTATTCCTTTGACTCCAGAAGTCCAGTCTCTTTACAAGCTTGGTTAAACATGCCTAATTCCTTCCAACAGAGAGAAGAAGTGGCACAGGTACACACTTTTAGTCCAGTGCAGTCCTGGATATTTATTTTCACTGCTGGATTTACAGAAGCTGCAGTTTCATTTCACCCTCTTCTCTCCCACTCATACCACTGGGATGAAAAAGGAGAAGCTTCCACAACAAGAAATATGTTTATATGTTTCTGTCAATGAACAGCAAGCCTCTTTTTCCTGGTCCTTCTGATATCAGACAACAGAGTTGCAGGGAATGGTAATGAAATCTGATACTTAGAAGTGAGAGAAAATTACTAGGTCCCCCTCAAAAGTCCGAAGACAAAGATTTTATTTGCCTTTATAGGATAAAGAAGGGAAAGAGTAGGCCAGAGAATATGTCCCAGGTCTCATCTGGTCACAAAGAGCAGTAATCCAACACTCGTGGACTGAGAGTAGATCTGTTGCTGAGAGTAACTCACCCTTATGGACAACAAACCTGTCCTTGTAAAACACTTTAGTGAGGGCATGGAAAAGGCAAGTCTTTGCTCTTGTATGAAGCTAATGATCAACCCATACCACAGATGAGGTCGTTGTGAGATGGAAAAACACATGGGATTTATCTAACTGTTTTCTCACAGATCCATGGAGTTAAGACTTCACAGCTGGAGGCATGAAACTGATCTTTCATCAGGACAGCACAATTTTGCACAGGGCTGTTAGAGTGGACTCTGTAAGAGACATGGTAGTGAGAATGAAAAAAAAAGACTGAGATTATCTCCTGGAGACAAGAAATTAAAAACATCTGATTTTGAAGGGTGTAGCCCAGAGGAAGAGAAACAACCTGACATCCAAAAGGCAGCTGTTAGAAAATAAGATGTACACCAAAAAACCTATCTACCTGGCACAGCTAAGTAATTCTGCCATCATAGAACCCAAATCAGACCCAAATGCAGACACAGTTCCCTGCAGTGGCAGTGATATCCACCAGCATGTGAGTGGCAGTGGTGAAAGTCTCATGGAATGATCACTGCCTTTCAAGGAGTTTGTAGGAACAGAAAGCTGGATTTATTCAGGGAGCTAAGCCAAGTCCTCAGAGTACTGACCTGTTGACAGTGAGATGTTGGGCAAGTTTTGCTTGCTGAAGAGGCTTTAGAAACAAACTCATTGCCTTAACTGCCATAAAAAGGAAAGGGCCAGGCAAAGTAACCAGATAAAAATGCTTTTCCTCATGAAAAACACTGATTTTGTCCAAATAAAGACTGAGATAAAATTAAGGTTCTGACTTAGGTTGGCAGCAGTAGAGCTGGAAAGGGCTGGGTTCTTGCACCCAGTGACACCAGCATTCTACAGAATGGGTGCAAGGGGGCTTAACCCAGAAAAGCCATATGCCTTTCTAACCAAGCATCTATGTGCTGGTGCAGGTAAATAAAGTCCTTGGTCTGAGCAGCTGGAGGGAAGCAGAGAGTGAGACATTAATACTTGGCCTGCTTTTCACAGGTACATGCCTTTACAAGGTGCAGGGCAGTGAAAAGTAAATGCTATTGAGCTTAGTGCAGTACAGGTGACAGCAAGAAGAAAATCTGCCCAGGAAGAAAGCTCTGACATCTGGAGGAGGAGCTCTGGGTGTTCTGGAACACCAGGCAATCTGAATAAGCACTATTGTTTTTCAAACAGAATGAAACTCACCTGGCATCACTTAATACAGATCCATCCTCCCAAATCCATCCAGAGCTTGTATTGTTCCTCAGTCCAATCCAGAAACATTCTGCTTGAATGCGCTTGAACAGATCCTAGAAATGATGATGAATTACAAAGTGACTAATGAAAGCCAGCTTGAAAATGGAGATAAATAAAGAGAACAGAGAGCAAGATACATCCCCTCACCTCACTGTCCCTTTAGTGACTGACAATACTGCTTCTCCACACCTTCTAATGACAGGGCCAGCAGTTGGACTCAATGATCCTATGGGTCCCTTCCTACTCTGCATATTCTGTGATTATATGATTCTATGAACTGCACCGCAGTCTCCCGCACAGAGCTGTATGTAGGAAGGCATGCTATTAATATTAACATTAACACCCCACTATACAGCTAACTAGCAAGCTAATATGAAGTATTAACAATTAAAGATAAAATCAGGGCAGGGTAGGGCAGGAAGTGCAGGCACTGACAGATATGTGTAACAAGTACAGTATGAAAGCTCTTTAAATTTCATACACATTTTCCTCCTATGTTTTCAGTGTTCATTTCCTTTTAGCTATTTTTAACCTCTAATTGTTGTTAAAAGGTGAAGCCTGCAACAGAAATTCAGCCATGAAGTAAAATTCCCCATCCCCAACCCTCCTCTCCATCAGAAAGACAAAGCCAGGAAAGGTAAGTTTGTCTTGTCCACCTTTGCAACCAAAGAACAGCAACCTTTCAGGGGTATGGCTGGGCTCCATCCTTATCTCCTGCTGCCACAAACAAAGCTTCAGACAAGACATCTTCAGAGAGAAGCATTAACAAAGCTGGCTTTGTGGGAATAGGAGCAGCTTGAGGAATCACTGGAATGTTGGTGGTGGTTTGGAGATGACTGCACTTCCCTAGCACTTGTAGGTCAAGCAATCACAGCTGTTGCAGTACAAGGCATGGATAGCTAGAAAAGTGTTGTTTAGAAGGGTGAGTCTAAACCCTAACTCTAAACCTAACCCTGTTCCTGAGCAGGGATAACGGATAACACTCTAGTAGCTGAGATGGCAGCAAGAAAGAAGCAGGAGCAGGAAGGCTTTCTTCATGCTGAAGAAATGGGTAATCTGGGGAAGACACCTATTTCTCAAGGAGACAGGATTTGTCTAAGCAAATGTAAGAGCCATGTACATACTCCCAATCAAGCAGAGACCTGGCTTTGTAACCCTCCAGAGGACATCACACAATGCAACTTCTGTCCACAGACTGGAAGCTGTCCACGTTCATTGGACCTGAGCTAATACTCCCTGGCTTGAGCAAAGCCGGATCAAGGTTTCTGCTCTACTTAAGCAGATGTGCCTCAGTGCCCCAGTAATCAGCACTACCCCTTCCTCCAGTGACCATGCATGCCCCTGTCCCCAGAGAGCACCTGCAGTGGGACACATGGTTTCTTATTTCACCAGCACAGCTGAGGTATTTTGGCAGAGGGAGGAAGTAAGCTTTGAAAAGAGAATGAGAAAGAAATATCTAAGCATGAACACAGGAAATGGCATGGGTCACTGAGCAGGAGGAGCTGGAGCACTCACAGGGAGGAGAAGTATCGCTTTTGCAAAGGAAGCACTCCTTGAGAGTGGGGACATATCAGTTTGTAGGCAACGAATACAATGACTGCTCAGCGCCACTGTAATCATTCATATCAGTCTTATTGGGAATAGGAGAGGAGGTGGAGAGGAACAGTGGAGAAGGCTGTCTCCTACCATCTTTCATAGGATGATTCTGAGTACCTGACAGTGACCCTCAACTCTCCGTTCTCCCCCTTGCTTCTCTGCTTCCTGCAAACTTTGTGATGTGTAACACCACAGTCATAAATCCTTCCTCTCCTTTAAAACCAAAACATTGCTGAAGTGACAGCTTGTATGCCAGTCACTTAGGTATCTGCAGGAAATGGGAGACCCTCAAGGCCAAAGAAAACCATTACCATCTCCAAGGTATCACTGATCACCAGTAGGTGAGCTCCCTGTGCCCTGCAGGATTCCTGGCTGGATTTCCAGTCCTTCTTCTCCATGGAGAAGGAGTAGCAGCTCCCTCTGTAGGCCACCCACTGTTGAGGGCAGTGTGGTTGGCAGTCACCTGTAAAGAAGTCAAAATACTCATACTCTTCTCTACCATTAACCAATAGAAACACTTGTCAGCAAGGACCTACTGAGAAACAACTCATTTGGATAGTTGAAATGCAGAAAACTCAAATCAGGACAAGATTCTGAAAATAACAGTGTAATTTCAAAATCTTACAATAGTCATGTGCACTCTGATGCTGGTGGCAAGCATGCACACACTCACCCCACCCCCAGGTTTCCACTGAACCACTCAGATACCCAGTTATACCCAACTGGCTATCTGAAAACAGATCACACTCTGTGGGTATGGTGTGATCACATCTACTTTGGGTGGATGGATTTTAAGCAACTAACAGGAAGTTCCTCCAAATAGTCTAGAACCATCTGCATGCATGCAAATATATTACAGACCTATTTGTTCTACAGTTTACCTCTACATTTACCAGGCAAGTCTACAAAGACTTTTCAATATGTTTAATTGTTCTTTGCCACAGGATCTGAAATGGGTTTCCTGGAGTCTGCATGAAGAATATATTCTTCAAAATATTCTGGATAGTAGTGGGTACATAAGGCTGGTAGAATCCTAGAACAGTTTCTGGTTTTAACTCCATACAATGGAGTTTCTGTGGTTAGATGTGTCGCTGGTCCTTTGCTGTCGGTTGCTCATGCTCAGCAGCCCTTTGTGCACTTACTCATCTTCCAAATAAAAGCAATTGCCATGGAGATGCTCAGTGTGCCAAAGCCTATGACCAAGCCCTTCAGAACTGCTGACCACAGACAGGGGGCTGTAAAAGAGAAAAGAAACCATAGTGAACAGAAGCCACAGGAAAACTGACTATGGTTTTACATAGTTTGCTTCTGTCCTGGGCATTTCCACAAGGAACTGCACTATTTAGAGCATCATGTCTGTATACACTCTGCACATGGTGGACATCACTGTCCCTGCCCAGCCAAACTGGGGCCTCCCCATCAGCCCAGGGCCCCATTTCACCTGGGTTTGGGGCCACCAGTTCCTGTCTGAACTTCCCAGGGGGTACTTTTCTCTACATCATCCATAGCTCTGCCCCTGCCTGGCCACAGAGCCTGCTGGTCCAGCCTCTGTGGTGGCTGACCCCAGAAGAGGAAGCACCTACCACAAGTGAGCTGGAGCTACCTAGGCACCATGTGACACCTCGTGCTGGCAGGTGCCTCCCAACAAATCCACTCCTGGCTCAGTGCTGAAGCTTGGGGTGGAAACCAGAGAGCTGCATTGCTACAGCCACCATGTTCCAGCTTACATGTAAAAAGGAATCCAAAGATTTTCCCCCAGCTCTCCCAGCAATAACACCAGGTTTAATCTCAGCATCCTGTTCACAGGCTTAGACACATGGTCATGCTACATCTTTCCAGGATATTCCCAAGGCAGTTCTATATTTTCATCTTCCATGGTAGGGTGGCAGGATGGGAGAGCCAGCCTTGAAGACCTTGGGACATCTCCCCCTTCACACCTTCACCACCACTGTCTGCTGTTCACTGGCTGTCCGTGGCAGAGAGTGAGTCCTTGGGGCAGCTTCCACTGTAGCCCATCACAGCTTACTTTCAAAGGGCTGGTCAGGACTGGCCTGTAGAGGTCTGCTTATGTACAGCACAACATCTTAACCTCCAGGCTACATGCTGCTTTTCCACTGCCATCTCCTGGAGCTGTGTTTGGCCCAAGAGGCATTCAGTTTGCATAAAACATTTGAAATCTCAGCACTAAAATCTCTTCCAGACAGAAGAGAGGATGACACTTACTGGCACAGATGAGTTCCAGGGGAGTTTGGTTTGCTTGTTTTATTAATCTCAGTACAACAGCTCCATAGACAACAGCACTTTCTAAGAAGCAGTAAATGTGCAGCTAACTTATGTACCATATCCTGATCTTGTGATATTCCAGAGCCTTCTACCCAAATCTAGCAACAAAATCTCCATGGATCTCATGAAATGTGAGGTGCTTTTCTCTTCGTCATGTCACGAAGAAACATATTTCATCACTTGGGGGAGGTTGAAAACAAACGCAGATCACATACGAAGAATATTGTGAGAAAGACAAAGAAAGCCAGTGCTAAAACAGAAGGTGAAGGGACTCCACTTAAAAATAAGAACACATCCTTTAAACATTGGAAATATTGTCCAAACACAGAAAGTAGACTAGATCAGTAAATTAATAAAAATTAATTTATTTTGATTTTGAGCAGGGTCACTTATGTAAAGGCCAGTTTCTCATCTATAGCGACACACTTAGGCCTATGGTTTTACCCAGAAGTAGTTTCTAAGGTAACAAGGGAGATCATGAGGGAGCATTGTTGTAAGCATCACTCTTCTGGTATAAAGATCTTTTCTAAGATAGAGGTTTTCTCACGTTTCCTGAAGCTTGTAGGATCTTCTAGCTGTCCCAAACATAGTTTAAAAATAGTAACATCTCTTATTTTTAAAAATCATTATTATAGAACAAAACCCCATCCCTTTTCAGAGACAATACAGAAAGACTTTTGAGTTACAACCTACTCCTCAGCTTCACACAAAGGGACAGTGGGAGAACTGAAGGACTTGGACTGGGTCTGGAACTTAAACTTGACTCTGCTCTCTGTTCCTCTTGTTTGTATCCCTGGCAGCTTGGGTTTTGTCATCAGATTAGGCCTCAAGAGAATGAAGTCAGCCCGAGGTTAAGAGGTAGGGTGGAGGTTTTTCTCTGCATATTACAACTGAAAACTTGGCAAAAGGAGATAAACATCTGATGAAACACAACTCCTGGTTCTGAGATCACATCTGTATTTTTGTTTGCCTTCCTCTCTTGCCTCTCCAAAGAAGCTGTCTCCTGCATCCTTCTGATCACTCTTAGATTTTAGGGAAAACTGCCAAGACAAGGCAACCAGGATGGCAGTCTTCGAAACAGTTAATCCTTAAATGTCAGCACCGGGCATGGAGCTGGTGCCTCCTGGCAATAAATAGAGCAGTTCACTCTCTATTGTTTCAAACCAATTGCAGAAAAAAGGGAATGATTCATCACAAAAACAAAATCCCAGGGCACCTCCACAACCCCAACAGTGGGAGAGTCACTAAAGTTCACAAAAATGAAAAAATATGGCATTAGATAATTTTGGAAGGAAAAAAAAAAAACCAACAAAGTGAAGTTGGAAAACAGGAAGTGTTTGATGTGAATTTAAGCTGCTCTCGAACTGCAGAGATCAATCCAGAGAAGTGGAATAAAATATTTCACAAATCAGGATTTTCACCTGCTGCAAAAGGAGCCCCTGCAGTTCACACTTTTTAAAACAGGTTCAATGGTTTCTGTTTCCTCTTCAGCCCCTGAACTACATGTGAAACTCTTGCAGGAATGGACAGGAGAAGTACCTAAGATGAGTTTGAAACAGGAGGAAAATCTGAATGGAGCATCCAGAAATATTTCCATGTAGTTATGTGATGAACTGGAAGAGTCTGTCCAAAGGGGTAAGTGGACTGGTGGGCACTTAATGTAAATATACAATGTTATCACTTTCTGTTTACAAAACACCCCAATAAGTCTGTGCTCTGGAGAAATTACTCTGATACTCTCTATTCATTTGCAAGCAACATGACCCAATATTTTTAGATTTGGGAGTCCAGATTCAGTTCAAAAACTGAAAGCTGTTAGCACTTTACAATTCAATTAATCAGTACAATCTGAAGAATGTCATGGCACTGTCCCAAACAGCTCCCCTCAGCTCCTGTCTACCTCACTATGGGAGCAGCATGACTACCTAGAGCCAAGGAGGAGAATTTGAGATACGAGGATTCTGTTCCTGGCTGTGGCACAGACCTGGTTATTGCTGTTACCACAAGCACTACACGGGCTAACACTGTCTTAAGTGACTGCTGTACAGACATTCTGGTAGTGCAGCACATCTAAGGCTCTCTGGAAGCCAAACAGAAGAAACAACCAGGGCAGCTCTTCATTTTTGAGGAATCTATAAGCACCAAAACCTGTTGGTTTGACCAGAGGACTGATCTACACACCCATAATAATGTGCCTGCAAAGTCAGCAAGGGAAAAATACCTGAGAGCACATCTCTCAGAAGTGATGGAGGTAGGAACAGAATTGAACATAAAGATTTTCAAAATAAAGGTACTTAAAGTGAGCTCCTTAGGGATCTCTTTCTTGCTGAAGAAAGATGAGAAATAATCAAATAATATGCACAAAAAGTGTGTTCAAATATCAGCTTCCTTATTTTCGGTTGTCTGACCATAGCTCAAAAAGATGAGGTTCCATAAAAGAATGTGGAGAGATGTTAAAAAGAAAAATGCAAACATCTAAAGAGGGCATTGGTTAAACCCCTTTGAACAGGGTGGGGGTGAACAAGAATGGCAGGGAATGAAACCATGTTACTGTGTGATGCAACAGAAAACATAATTTCTGGCGAAAACATATGCAAAAGCAAGACTGCCCTCCAAACAGATGGAGTGTGAGCACCAGATAGGAACTGGGGAGTTTCTGTGCTGGCTTTGTTTCCATAGTGAAACGAGTGACCAGGCAGCAGTAAACACCACAGGTATACAAAATTGTTCTGATCAGGGTATAGAAACCTTGTATCCCACAGTGAGAGTCCCCTTTGCTGTAACACCTCTGAAAATTTAAAGTCAACCATTAGTGTTGCAGACAATGCAACAGAACTCATCTAAAGCTCACTGATGTTTCATAGAATCATAGAATTATCTGAGTTGGAAAGCACTCCAAAGCTCATCTAGTTCCAACCCCTCCACCATTTTGCCTGAAGGAAATATTTACAAAGAAGGATCACCAATGCAATGTTTGACTCTTTGAAGGTGGTATTTCTACACTAAGCTGCCAGAGGAATTGTTTGCTGTGACATCTGCAGGTCTAATCAGGGGTAATGGAGAGGAAATAAGGAAAGTAAAAATTTAAGGAAAGCACTAAGAAAATCTTCCTGATAGTAAAGTGCTCTGAAGAACTGTTTCGCAGCAAAAGCTGAAAATTTGCTCACTGGGAGGTATGTAACACTAGAACACAGAAAACAGGAAAAAATCACAGAAGAATCCTGCACAGCCCCACAGGAGAGAGGCTGGATGATCTCATATGCTTTCTCTGCCTCTGATCTCTGATTAGCATGCGCCTCTAATTTATCTGTATTCGCATCTTGCCTGCCCTTCAAAGAACTATTGCTCACAACCTCTTGCTGCTGACAAGCAGACAACTTTAAACCAGTTTTGAAGAAAAGGATGCCTGGGTTGAATGCCCAGGAGTAGACACTGAAGGAGGTTGGTGAGAGGGAGGGGAAAAATGCTGGGTCTCTAACTTGTCAGCTTTAATCACACTAAAAATCCACAGTAGTTTTAAAACCAAAGCAACAACTCTCTAAGCTGGCACTCAGAATCAGTTGCCAGTTCAGAGTGTTTCTGTTAAATCTTGCTTTCACTCAAAGTAAAATTTTTGATTCACCTACCTGATCCATCTTTCCTCACCTCTTTTCTCCTGTGGAGCTCTGGCCCTTGGAAGAGGAGTCTGAGAGAATTTGATAGAAGTATAAGTTACTTCCTCACTCTCATCAGCTGCAGAAATTTCTGATCTGTTTGCCTCCATGCCAAAGCAAGGAGTGTGCACAAAAGGATGTTTCGATCGGGCTGTTGAACAACAGTGCTCAATGCCTGTGAAACAGGAAGCCTGAGGCTACATTCAGAAGACAAGAAATAATGTAGCTGCTACCTCTATCTCCAGCTGCTAAGATAACCAAATTTACAACGGAATGGAGAACAGTGGAACTGCAGCAGCTTTCATTTTTCTAACCTGATGGAGGATGTCTCAAGAACAGCTGCTAATGGAAAAGGTGTTCACAAACATCACAAAGTTCAGGGGTACTCTAATTGTTGCCAATGCAAGAGGGTGAGGTTACACTGATGCAGGAATTGGGAGGATTCGTGCTGCTCTGAGGAGCTCCCTTCAGGGTGGAAGCAGCAGGATGATGACAGCACAAGGTAAAAAAGGTGACTAGTGACAGTACAAGGTGAAAAATGGGATAAGCAATGGCTATGGCAAAGTGGCAGCCCAACTGCTGTCAGACAGGAAGTAGAGGTTTGAAAAGGAAGCCTTGTGAGCTTTGGACAATTCAATTCCACTTCAGACTGGGAACTCTGTCCATACCAAATACCGCTGTGACTGTGCTTAAGACACAAGGCAGGCACTGAGAGCTGGCATTCCTCAAGGCCCTCCAAGTCACCATCTCAACAGCATCAGTACAAGGGAGACAGGGACATACTCAGGAGAATCTGCCAAAGGGGCACAAGGAGCATAATGGGACCAGACTCCTGCTGTCCTGGGAGGAAAGACTGAGAGCTCTGGTACTGTCTAGCCTGGAGAAAAGACTTCTTGATTAGGATCCAATTAATGTATATAAATACATTATATATGTATGAAGGAAGGGTATTTATACGCATTAATTTGACTCAAGAAGAGTCAAAGTCTTCAATGGTGCACAGTGACAGGACAAGAGGCCATGGGCACAAACTGAAAGACAGAAGGTGTTGCCTCTGAACATCAGGAAACACTTTTTTTACTCTGAGGATGTCTGAAAATTGACATAGGTTGGCCAGAGAGGTTGTGGTGTGTCCCTCAGTGGAGAGTGGCCTGGACACAGTCCTGGGCTGTAGGTGGACCAGGTTGTAGTTTGAGCAGGGGGTGGGACCAGATAAACTTGAAAGGTCCCTTCCCAACTCAATCATTTAGTGATTCTGTGGTCAGCAACAACAGGAAAGGCTACTTTTCTTTTGAAGTATTGACCATTGATGAGAAAAGTTCAGGTTGTGCCAGGGGGGGGTTAGATTGGATATTGGCAAAAATTTCTTTAATAAAAAGGATAACAAGCACTGGGACAGGCTGCAGAAGGAAGTGGTTGAGTCACTACCCCTGAAGGTATTTTAAAAAGATGCAGATGTGGAGCTTAGGGACATGGTTTAGTGCTGGGCTTGCCAGGGTCAGGTTAATGGTTGAACTCGATCTTCAGGATCTTTTCCAACCTAAAAGATTCTGTGACTCTGTGGTGGGGAGTAGAGATGTTTCCAGCACCCTGAGAAATCTCTTGGCTGCATGGTTGGCTGGTTTTTGTTTTAATCCACATGCTGATCCCTTCCATTTCGTGCTCAGAATGGGGATATTGGTCAGGCTCAGGCTGCACTTCTTCAGCACAGTACACTACAGTTAATTTCCAGTAACTGTTTGGGCATGCTCAACAAAGGAGTTGGGACGACTGCTACCTCCAGCTGGGATGATTGTTCCCCCTTCTGGTGACAGGTTCTAAATGTGAGAGATTACTGTATGGGAGGTGCTTACCTGACACAGAGTGGCCAATTTGTTACAATGCACATCTCGGGGAGGGGATTGGTAATTCTGCAAATTGCTTCACTTGCCTGTAAGGGTGGCATATTGCACCCACAAGATTCCTTCCAATCCTAGGTAGGGCCTGTGGACAGCAAAATAGGGAATGTGTGCTTGAAAGGATGGGGAAGGCATAAGGCAGTAGAGCAAGGCAAAAGGCAGAACATCTCTCCTAAATGCTTGAAATTAATAATAGAGAAGTCAAAAAGAGCTCTCAAGCTCAGAGTGAGAGAATTTGCTATACTCACATGGGAGTTTAGCTGGGAATACAGTCTGTATGGCTCAAAAGTATATAACAAGATTCAGACACAGCTTAAGTGTCCAAATCTGCTTTTGTCCCCGCTTTGTGTTTCTTTGGTAGATTCTCTCCAGTATGTCCATGTTCTTTCATACTTTGGAGTAAAGGTGTCTCTCCCAGCTCCTGCAAGTTTTGTCACTTTTTAAGTGCTCAGGCTGCCTGCTGGCCCAGAGTGACTACAAAGACAGCATTATTTGTGAAGAACTGGAGAAGTGAAAGCTGGTGGGAAAGAATTAAGAGCTGTTTCAATGTGGTTTACTTTTTTTCTTCTAATATCAGCAGGACAGGAACTAGAGTGGGAGGGATCACACTGCAGAAGGTGTGAGGGCAACTCTCAGTTATTATGTAAGTGTGAATAAATAAATCTGACTAATGCAGCTATGCCATACTGTCAGTATGGAGTCACAGCAGGACTAAACTGATGAATTTTCCAGGAGCCAGCAGCACTGCTTCCCCAGTTCTTCACTACTGAAGCAGCATACCAGAGGAGGAACCTCCTAAATTTCTCTCAGACAGGTACCTTTTCCAGCATTTCCAACATTCACTAAGTGTAGCATTTCTTTCTTAACTAAAGGATGCAAAAGCCTCAGAACTCTGGCAAAGAACATCTGTTCCGTCCAGTAACAGACTCCTGGAAAGTGGATGTACTCTAGGGAACACATCATAAGGAGCGAGATGTCCTTTGGACAGGCCAGTCTTACATCTCATATTTATAGTTTTATTAATGATATCCAAGATGCTCAAGCACACTAACTTTGTATGCTGGACCTGGAATTCCTCTACAGTGGCAAAATCTGCAGGAGTTGGGGAAGGCACCTTTATTCCAAAGTACAAGAACAAAACAAATCATGGAGAGAATCCACCAGCGGCACAAAGTGGGGACAAAATCAGAAGGATCAAGGCCACAAAACAGTTTAGTGAGGTAGTCGAGACACCTTGCTCCTGCAACACAAAGTCACTCTGCAGGTACCTGGTGGGGATGGCCAAGCCCAGCGACAGAGGGACTGCTACCGCCTCCGGCAGCGGCAGCGAGGGGAGGCTGATGCCGAGAAGCCCTTCGTCCCCGCTGATGCAGCCACCTGCCTGCTGCTACTCCGGACCTGTGTGGAGGACAGGCTCTCCCCCACAGGAGAGAAGAGAGCGCGACTGCAGCGAGGGACAGTCACAGACACCTTGGTGAGCTGATCTGCAGCCTGGAGCCCCCCGATCCCGATCCCGATCCCGATCCCGATCCCGATCCCGATCCCGATCCCGATCCCGATCCCGATCCTGATCCCGATCCCGATCCTGATCCCGATCCCGATCCCGCGGGGCTGGTGCCCGCTGTTCCCCGCCTCATCGGCATGCCGAGAGCGGCTCGCTCGAGCTCCGCGCCGTGAGGGCTCCTCCTCTCTGCCCGCCCTCGTCGTTCATTGGCAGAAAGGCGAGCGGGGGCGGGCCTACGCGCTGAATCTCATAGTCTATTGGCTGATAGAGAGGAAGTGGGCGTGCCCCGGTGCGCCACCCGGCCCTGCCCGCCTTTCCTCCGCCGCGCATCATTCGCTCCGAAGCGCTCCTGGGCGGGCGATCCCGGCCGCTCCCGCGTTCCCATTGGTGCCGGGCTCCAGTTCCGCCACGCTCTTCCCGGCTTCCGGCTGGCGGGGCGGGCGAGGGAGCCGGTCGGGACGCGAAGGAGGAGGCCGGTGCCGCCCGTGCCTGTGGTCCCCGTGCCGTCCAGCATGGGATGCGCGTGAGCCGCGGGTCTCTGTTCCCTGTGCGCGGCGGCTCCCGGTCCCGGGGCGGCCGCAGGTGGGTGCGCGGGGCTGCCGAGGTGGGCAGCGGGCACGGCGAGGCCGCGGGGCGAAGCCGCGCTCCGTCCCGGGCGGGTCTGGGGCAGCGGCCCCGGCTGGAGGAGCCCGGTCGGGCCGCTCCCAGCGAAGCGCAGCAAGATCCCGGGAGAAGCCGTGCCTGGGGCTGAGGGCAGGTCCTGCTCTTGGCCTCGGGAGAGAGCAGTCACGAGCCCTCGTGTCACGGGCTTCCTCATTTCGGTGACCGCGCACTGGAAGCGATTGCCCGTGGAGGCTGTGGAGTCTCCCTCACTGGAGATATTCCAGAACCGCCTGCACACAATCCTGTGCCATGTGCTCTAGGACGACCCTGCTTGAGCAGGGAAGTTGGAGCGAGTGACCCACTTTGGTCCCTTCCAGCCTTAGCCGTTCCGTGATTTCTGCGTTCCTAACCTTCTTTTGGTGCCCCATGGCGAGCAGAGCCCGCCTCAGCAGCTGTGAGCCGTGGGGCTCTGGGGACATCGCTGGGTTCGCTCGGAAGGGCTCTGTGCCCGCCTGCAGCCAGGTGCTGTTTAATGGAGGGCCTGCCTTCCAGCAGCGACTGGAGCTGTACCGAAATCTGCGGCACAAGAAGCAGAGGGGAATCTGTTGCACTGCTTTCTTTGGCTGGTGCTATCATTGAACGTTTCATATGTGATGTGAACGTTTCACGTTTTAGCGTGAACCTGAAGGGCAAATCTTATAGATTATTATTACTGTTGTTGTTATTATTATTGCTATTATTATTAATTATTACTGTTACTTCATTACTGCCTTGTTGATTGGATCTTACATAGGATGCCTTGCTTTCCTTCTTCCCTGGTGGAAACTGTTCTGTGAAGATGCCGTTTAGCATTATTAATGTCTTTCAGATTTTCAGCTAAAGGAGTACTGGAAAGATCATTATAAAGATTAAGGCACTTGAACGAACAGGGCCTGACTAATCACGGTGGCTCTTCCCTATGAGCTCTTTACATGAGAGCTGTGAAGATGATTGATTAGAGGTCTCATAAATAATTTTCTGCTGACTGGCTTCTCAGTGCAACACCATAACAAACAGTGGATTATGCCTGAAATTTACTCCAGCGTTCAGTCTGCTGGACTCTGCTCTGGCAGCTAATTAATGTGCTCAGCAGCACA